AAGAAATGAAAATTTTCCAAAGATCCAGTATTAAACAAACGAATTTCGCACAGAAAAAACAGTGGAATTGAGAAGTTCAAACATGCCAAACTATGGAGAATCGAGATACGAGAGCAGATGAAACCGTGCAAACTGAAATTGCAGTAGCCAGCAAGTGCAGTTGGGAGCCTGGGAGAGATGATCGATGTCCCAGAAAATCTGAAGAAGTCGCAGCGGGTGCACCATGCACTGCAGTTGTGGAGGAATTGAGAAATGCGTAGAGACTAGAAGTGACGACGAGACTTTTGGTTTTGTGAAATTAGGGTAAGAGCTGCAAGGCATGGGCACTTGGATAGGATTTTTTTTTTAATTTTTTAATTTCACAAAAAAAAAGGCCAAACTCCGCCTAGCCCGCCTAGAGCCCAACCGATTTTTACAAACGATTTGCAAGAAATCGCCTCAAGTCACCACTGCCCAATGCCTAGGCCGATTTTTAGAACATTGGTTTTACTAATTGGTCCCTATATGTGCTTAGATGTGTTTATTAGTGGCGATTCCGTCCTCCCTAGTTCGAACGGCTCTTCGGCGACGGAGTATCTGTGAGTGGATTCCTTCCAAAATGCATGTTTTTATTACTAGAAATGAATAATCGGATTTACACTTTATGAAATATCATGCTCTACCGAATTTACATTACTGAGATATTTATGATTATGATTTATAATATGATGTTTGAGCTGTTGAACTTCGATGGTATATATTTTGGAAAGATTATGTTCTTGATTTTTTGTGCTCAATTAGTGGTTATTTAATGATATATGTGCCTTTGGGCGGAAGATATATATGCCTTTGACCGGATGATGTAGTGCCCTCGGGCGATTGTGATACCACTACTAAGCACACTATATACGATATATGTTTTATGAAGGTTTTATGACATGCTACGATTTTCGGAAAACATATTACGTATTTTGCTATATGAGTTTTCTAAAACTGGGGGTTAGTACATTTGAAGAGTAATTGTTTGTAGTTTCAATGGTTAGGGTTTTGGTCGACAATGAAGGGTGAGAGGTTTTTGATAGTTGAAGAAGATAAATAATATGTTAAAGGTGATTTGGGGTGCATTAGAGATTTCTATTTTTTTTTTAACCTAATAAGGTCGAAATTGTCATTGCATAGTAAGGGTACATAATCATTTAATATTAAATTTTAATGAGAGGTGCATTCAACATTATGTGGAGTCTAATAAAAAAAAAACTTTGATTTATTTAAGTACTTGTTTAGTAGTAATAAACTTTGATTAAAATTTCATCATTTGTTCAATTCTTTGATGAGTATATTCCATTTTCATTTTGTATTGGTTAAGCCAGCTTTCGGTAGTCAAATTGCAGTTGTCGAATTGTGGTGAATTGGTTCTTTTGCCGTTTATGTACAGAATAGATTTGTATTCCCAAGATTATTCTTTGTGGAATCAACATTTTGATAGGTGTTTGCACTCAAAATATACCCATTTTTACTTATTTGGGCAATTTGGGTAAAATGGTATTTGAAGGTTTAATATGCAAGAAACCTAACTTGGAAAGATATTTGGTGGCAAGTGGATGTGTTTGACACTATAATATTATTTTTCCCATTTGTTTGGATGGTGGAGGTTTGTCAAGCCTTTGTTTAATCAAGATACATGCATGTATTGCAAGTGGATGGGAGAGCCTTCAGATAAGGAACAAATGAAAGAAGCCAACTTGCTTCTTTTAATGGTTAGTTTATTACAAGTGGGAAAACATGTGCTAAAAACATGTGGTGGAGATGCAAATTTCCCTTTTAATATTGTTTCTACATGCAAGTTGGCAAAAGCAATGCAAGCTACCCAAGCAATGAAATGCAAGCTGCCCAAGCTTCTTTCGGGCAAGTACAAAAACCTCAGCATGGGGTTTCCTCCAGACCTCTATAAAAAGGAGCAGATGCACAAGGATTATGGACACTCAAACAAACAAACAAAAGCACAAACTTTGCTCAAACCAGATTTGCCAAAAGCCTTCTTTTATCTAGTTTATTAGCTCTGCTGCTCACTTGCGATATTGATCTCATTTGTAACTTTTATGCACTCATTTCCAGTCATATAAATTACAAGCAATCTGCAATATTAGTCACTTTCCTCCGTCATTTATATTTCCAAGCAACCTTGTCATTTACATATTGTTCTATCTCTCCATATAAGTAAAATCCTTATTTTTAAGGCAAACAAAGAACCTTAATTTGAGCAACTCCCACTCAAATGGCATAATCTCTTGATTTGAAGTCAAATGGCGCAACCTCAATCATTCAAATCCCATCAACTAGCGGCATCTAGTAGTGGCACGCCCACACCCACCAATCTCGTATGTGAAGTAAATCCCCGGCTTGCCCGTAAGGCACCATGGCGGATTTAGGGAGCGAACATATTTTGGCACGCCCGGTGGGATACTTATATGAAGTTAGATCATGAACAATCCTTATGTTCATGATTTTTCTGCTTTTTCGGAGGATGACGGTGTGGAAGAGTGCCCAAGCTATGGCTATCACATAGAGCCAACCTATGAGTTGCCAACTTATGGGTACATGGCTGGAGAGTACTCAAGTCCCATGAAACATGATTGTCGGCCAACTAATGGCCATCAAATAAATAATAATCTTGCAGATTGGCCAACTTATGGCTATGATGAAGGTTATTATTCTTTTGAAGACAATCATATTCATGAATACTATGATAGGCCAACAAATGGCTTTGAGTATCAAAATGCTTCCAATGAGTACATAGAGCCAATATATGAGATGCCAACTCATTATCATCTGGATGAAGAGCTCTACAAAGAGGATGTGGGCAAATTAGAGAAGGTGTCCAAACTCCATATGGCAAGCATCGAATATGGTGAAGAGGTGACTAAGTGTTTTAGAAAGGTGGAGGAAAGCTATACAACTTTTAGAGAAACTTTGAGAAAGTTGATAGATCAAATGTGTCAAATCCCCTCTACAAAGCACACTTACCCTACTACAACCAAGGAAGAACAGATCATACACGTTGATGAAGGCCAAACAATGGCCCCACCCAATGAAAAATCTATGAAAATAGATATGGTTGTAGAAGACCAAGCTGACATATCAAAACCGATAACGACTAAGATGGAGCTTGTGGCTATTGTAGGCCAAACACCAACGCTCGGGGGGCATGAGCCCACACCTCATGTGGAGCCCGAAGAAGAAGAAAATAGCTCCTACACTCTTCCCCGCCAACACAAGCATGTTGTCCGCATCGAGATCTCAAGGAGGACAAATCTTGGGATCAAATATGAATGGCCACCTCCTATGGTTCCCAAGCTACATAGCATGACCAATTTAAATGATGGGTTTGATCTCTCTACACTCAATTTTAAAAAGAGAAAAAGATTTGAGTGTTAAGAGAAAAATAACATATGGGCAATGAAGGAGTTTCATCCAATATGCCCGAATAAGGCTCGTTTTTGTTTCTCCCTCTTTCCTTTTCCAATTTATTTCTCTCCCTCCCTTCATTTTCTAAAAAGCTCCACTCTGCCCGAAAGGGCTTTATATATATATATATAGAATACGGTACTATAATATATTTTAAAAGTGTTGCCTGAAAGGGCTATATATATAGGGAAATGATAAACACACACCTTTTATAGCTTCATACACACCCCTGGCTAATCATGTCCGTTGTTTTCGTTTGATTTATTCAATCCGATGGCCTGGAACAAAGAGGGGTGTGAGAAAAGCTATAAAAGGTGTGAAAATCATCTCCCTATATATATAGTATTGTATATACTTTGCCCGTGCGGGCTTATATATTTTTGTCTATATATATATATTTTATATTTTATTATTATTATAGTATATTATGTGGAAAGGGAATCTGGGCGCTTGCCCAAATAGGCTTTTATTTTTATAACTTATATATATATGTATATATATTATATTGTATTATAGTTTTGAAAAAAAGAAAAGAAAAAAAAAAATCTGGACAGCTTGCTCGAATAACTGTGTACCAATTTGCCCGACTTGGGCCTTTAATTTCCTTTTTCTGTTTGCCCGAAAGGGCTCTGTTTTCTTTGTGTGTTTCTTGTGTTGTTACAAAAAAAAAAAAAAGATATAAAAATTAAAAATTCCAAAAATCACAAAAACGTGTTGCTTTCTTGCTTTCTTTACCCTTTTTTCTTGTTATGGGGCTTTATAGAAAATATAAAAAAAACTGAGCAGTCACCCAAAGGTCGTTTTCCTTTCTTCTATTTTTCTTCTGTCCGAATGGATGTAGTTAGCCCGAACCCAATGACTACATTTTCCACAAATTTCACCCAGAATCTTGGAATTGGAGGTTTTATAAAAAGCCAAATCATGGCTTTCCTGTGCAAAAATCTATCAGATAGCTTCTCAATGGCTATTACAAAAGAGCAGGGGGTTATCTTGCCCGACTGGTGGTGCCTGATGGAACCATAATCATGCTCGACGGGAATGGCGTCTTCCTGTTGATTCTCACATCGTTGCCAACAGACTTCGCATGCCTCCCCAATTCTCAACAGCGCTAACGACCAAAGTTCGGGCTACTTCGGCAACTGTCGTTGACAGGTTACATCAAGAGCTTCTTATTTAGTTACTATTAATTACTGGAAACCAGCTGTCATGGGTGAGAAAGTAGAAGAATGGGGCTGCATTTAAATATGAACTACGAAAGTTGAAGGAAGACGGCAGAAAATGGATGTTGCATCTGCTCGACTATGCTACCGGCATTAAGATCCCCACTGAGGCATCCATCAAGGAGATGATCCCACCAGATGGTAATATCTGCTTCTAACCCTGGCAGTGCATAGAACAATACTGAAAAGTACATTGAGGCTGGTACTTCAAAGCATGCAAGGAGCCTTGAGCCGAAGAGTTCAGACCAACACAAGGCAGCAGTGGTTGATTTCACCCACTCAATGACGCATTTGGGCCATCACTCAACATCCTTATTAAGCCAGCGGTCATATAGAATGTCGAGGCTGCACTTATGGGTAATGATTGGGCGGTTGCCCTCAGTCATGGTGAAGGATCTGGAGTGCGGGAGCAGCGGGTTGCTGCCTACTCTCCTCACTCTATACTCCTTGAGGTGTCTGACGACGGACGACGGCAGCTTGATCGGCGAGTTTGAAGTTCAACATTTCTCCAATCTCACCAAAGTAATCACAGCTTTTTCCCATAGAGAGAAACAATATAAAAAGAGAAACTAAAAGCAGAGATAATTAAAAAGGGAAGAGGGAGGATCTATGTTTAGAAGATAATAATCTTTTGTTCAATCAAGAAGACGTGTGATCAGATTTCTCAACCTAACCCGCCAGTTTGGAGATGCTGCAATTCATGCTCGAGGATCGAACATCAAGGGCATAAGAGTGGTTATCAACTACGACTTCACTACTGGAGTAGAAGGTTATGTACACAGGATTGGAAGAACTGGAAGAGCAGGGGCCGCTGACCTAGCTTACACATTTTTTGGTGATCAGGATGCTAAGAGTGCAACAGATCTCATCAAAATTTGGAAAGGGTTAATCAGTACGTCCCTCCAGAGGTTCGTGAACTAGCTTCCCGTGATGATGGGTTTTTAGATGACTCTAGTTTGAAGAGATGCTTCCATGTTTTTTGGTATCAACAAGAAGGAGCACAAGCCAGACAACATTCTTTCCAATGCTAGTTGCACTGCAAGGTTATCAACGACAAAAGGACTGAAGAGGTAGACGTGCCTCTTCCTTCGACATCAATCCTGGCAGCATTGGGGTTGTCAGTTTTACAAACTTTGCTCAAATTTGTAAAACTTGGGGGGCATTGTTTGCACTCAAAATATACCCATTTTTACTTATTTGGGCAATTTGGGTAAAATATGATATTTGAAGGATTAATATGCAAGAAAGATAACTTGGAAAGATATTTGGTGGCAAGTGGATGGGTTTGACACTATAATATTGTTTTTCCCATTTGTTTGGATGGTGGAGGTTTGTCAAGCCTTTGTTTAATCAAGATACATGCATGTATTGCAAGTGGATGGGAGAGCCTTCGGATAAGAAACAAATGAAAGAAGCCAACTTGCTTCTTTTAATGGTTAGTTTATTACAAGTGGGAAAACATGTGCTAAAAACATGTGGTGGAGATGCAAATTCCCCTTTTAATATTGTTTCTACGTGCAAGTTGGCAAAAGCAATGCAAGCTACCCAAGCAATGAAATGCAAGTTGCCCAAGCTTCTTTCGGGCAAGTACAAAAACCTCAGCAGGGGGTTTCCTCCAGACCTCTATAAAAAGGAGCAGATGCACAAGGATTATGGACACTCAAACAAACAAACAAAAGCACAAACTTTGCTCAAACCAGATTTGCCAAAAGCCTTCTTTTATCTAGTTTATTAGCTCTGCTGCTCACTTGCGGTATCGATCTTATTTGTAGCTTTTATGTACTCATTTCCAGTCATATAAATTACAAGCAATCTGCAATATTAGTCACTTTCCTCCGTCATTTATATTTCCAAGCAACCTTGTCATTTACATATTGTTCTATCTCTCCATATAAGTAAAGTCCTTATTTTTAAGGTAAACAAAGAACCTTAATTTGAGCAACTCCCACTCAAATGGCACAATCTCTTGATTTGAAGTCAAAAGGCGCAACCTCAATCATTCAAATCTCGTCTACTAGCCGCATCTAGTAGTGGCACGCTCGCACCCACCAATCTCATATGTGAAGTAAATCCCCGGCTTGCCTGCAAGGCACCATGGTGGATTTAGGGAGCGAACAATAGGTTTACATGCACTGGTATAATTTTAATGTGTTTAATTCTTTGCAGATGTGCCACGACCACGGTTTGATGCATCAGGATCTCAAACCCGAGAAAATTTTGTTTGAAAACAAGAAGGAAACAGCACCTTTAAAGGCAATTGATGTTGGGTTGTCCGTATTCTTTAAACCTGGTAAAGTCCTCTCCAGACTTGGCATTTGATTTTCTTGTTCCGATTAGTTTACTAAACAATTTTTTTCATGTATTTCCAGGTGAAGTATCTAGTGAAATTGTTGGAAGTTCCTATTACATGGCTCCTGAGGTGTTTAAACGCAACTATGGTCCTGAAGTTGATGTGTGGTGTGCTGGAGTTATACTCTATATCTTACCTTATGGTGTACAGTAGTTACATTCTTATGGAGGATGTACAATATATGGTTATTCCACAGTGTATATTTATACACACACATTATAAATGCATCCATGCATGTAGGATGTGCGTACTATTAGAAATGTTATCTTTCATTTCATCATCATTAAATTATACAATGGTATACACACATATATATACTAGTGATTCACTAGTCTTAGCTAACCAACTAATTACAAAAATACCCAAACAATCATTCACTAACTACAAACTGCCATAACCACCTTATAACAAGATCTAACTAACTTTTCTTTTAACAGTTTTATCCTTATTATCCCCCCGCAAACCTAACTGAGGTAACCGAAGGGAGAGTTTGTTCCTAAGGAAGATGAACCAAGGCTTGGACAGAGCTTTAGTACAAATGTCTGCAAGTTGATCCTCCGTGCAGACAAAAAGAACTTGCACTTGATTTGCTAGCACCTTATCCCAGATGTAGTGATAATCTATCTCCACATGTTTGGTTCGTGCATGAAAGATAGGATTTTTAGCCAAGGAAATTGCAGAAATGTTATCACACCAAAGATGCGGAGAAGAAGAAAGAACTAGACCAACATCAGTCAGCAACTTGCAAATCCAGGTGAGTTCTGCTGCAGTGTTTGCAAGAGACCGATATTTAGCCTCAGTTGAGGATCGAGCCACAGTAGGCTGTTTCTTTGCACTCCAACTGATAAGAGAGTCTCCCAAAAAGATTACAAAACCACTAGTGGATCTTCTATCAATGTTGCAACCTGCCCAATCTGCATCGGAGAAGGCAGTGATTGTGAGAGACTTTAAACACTTAGAAAACCATAGGCCAAGAGATAAGGAGCCCTTAAGATATCGAAGAATGCGCTTGACTGCCTGGAAATGTGCTTGCCGAGGTCTATGCATGAATTGACAGACCAAATTCACTGCATAAGATAAGTCGGGCCTGGTCATAGTTAAATACTGCAATCCACCAACCAGAGATCGATATTCTTCAGGATTATCAAGCAGATGAGATTCATGATCCAATTTAGTGGTGCTAATTGGTGTAATACAAGGCTTGGAACCCTCCATATGAGCTTTGGTGAGTAGATCAAGAATATATTTGTTCTGAGAAAGCAATATCCCCAAGGATGATCTTGTTACTTCAATACCAAAAAAGTAATGAAGGGGACCAATATCTTTGACAGGAAATAAGGCACCGAGTTAGGTAATAATCTCTTGACAAAGGTGGGAATTTGGGCCAGTGACAATAATGTCATCAACATAAATCAGAATGAATACCAGAGCTGGTTCCCTTTTTACAAACAGAGAATAGTCATTCTAAGAACCGGAGAAACCGAGAGACTTTAAGGCAGTTGTTAATTTCTCATACCAAGGGCTTGGTTCAAACCATACAGAGACTTATACAAATGACAAACATGAGTGGGCTTTGTAGGATCTTCAAATCCTGGTGGTTGTATCATAAACACAGATTCAGTGAGATTACCATGCAAGAAGGCATTGCTGATATCAAGTTGATTGAGAAACTAATCAAACTTGGCAACTAAAGTGAGAAGAAGCCGAATTGTAACCGGCTTAGCAACTGGACTAAATGTTTCAGTGTAGTCCAAACCTTGTTGTTGATGAAAACCTTTGGCAACAAGCCTTGCTTTGTACCTATCTATGGTACCATCAGGTTTGTGTTTGATTATGAATACCCATTTTGCACTAACCAGATTCTGAGAAGAATTAGAAGGGACCAAAGACCAAGTTCCAGTTTGAATAAGAGCATTAAATTCTTCCTGCATAGCTTGCCTCCAATGAGAGTGTTTGGAGGCTTGAATATAAGTGGATGGTATATAGTCCAGTGATATCTCAGAGGAAATGGGATGTTTAGTTGCTAAAAGAGCCTTTGGTTTGACAATACCGGATTTTGAATGAGTTTGCATGGCATGAGTAATTTGAGGTATGGAAGGTGTGACAAGTGTATTAGGGGCAGAGATGAGATTAGAAATGGGATGAGAAATGGGATTAGAAGGTGAGGGAAAGGAAATAGGTGCAGCAAGGGGACTAGGTACAACAAAGGAAGTAGGTGGTAGTGGTGGAGGTATAGTGGGAAAAGTTAAGGTTGTGGAAATGGTGTGGTGATGCTGCAATACTGAAGAACTAGAACTTGATTGGAGATGCTGAGATAAGGCTTGTTGAGCAAAGGGAAAAGTGACTTCATAAAAAAATAACATGTCATGAAAGATATACTCTACCAGTATGAAAATCGAGACACTTATAACCCTTGTGATTCAAACTGTAACCCAAGAAGACACATACTTTGCTTTTTGGATCAAGTTTAGAGGATGTGTAAGGCTTCAACCATGGAAAACATCTGTAGCCAAATACTTTCAAAGATGTGTAATCTGGAGTTTTGTGAAGTAGTAATTCCCAAGGAGAAGGCTTGGTAGCTGTTGGCATTCTGTTAATCAAATAGATGGTCGTGGCAAATGCATCATCCTAATAGAGCTTAGGAACTTGAGAGGCTGCTAGAAGAGTTCTAGCAATTTCAACTAGATGCCTATGCTTGCGTTCAGCACAGCCATTCTGTTCAGGCGTGTGAGGGCAACTCAATTGATGTGAAATGCCATGCACTTGCAGATAATTGATGAACTTGAGACTAAGAAACTCTCCACCAAAATCAGATCTTATAGTGACTATTTTAGAACTGAGCAGATTTTCCACTACATATTTAAATTTGACAAATGTGTCAAAGACAGCAGACTTGGATGCAAGAGGAAGGAATCAAGTATATTTGGTATAATCATCAACAAAAATGATGTAGTAGCGATGTCCATTGATAGAAAGAAGAGGTGTTGGACCCCATACATCAGTGTGCAACAATTCCAAAGGTTTACTGGAGGTACAGGAAACAGAAACAAAAGGCAATTTTGAAGACTTGCCTAGAGCACAACTAGAACAGACAGTTTTATTTAAGGCACTAGAAAGAGAAATATAAGACTTAGATGCAATCTTATTTAGTATCTTGAAGCCAGGGTGACCCAATCTTTGATGCAATGTATGTTGTGAAGCTTTAGCATGTGCTACAAAAGCTTGTTCATTACCAGCAATAGGAGATGCATGAAACAAATAGAATCCATCTCTCACATGACCCTTAAAGAGTATTTTCTCCGAAGAAAGATCCTTCACAAGGAAGTGAAAAGGATACAAATGAATTAAACATCAATTATCAAATATAAATCGATTTGCAGAAATCAAATCTTGCTTAAGATGAGGAACATGCAGAACATTCTTGAGAGCAAAACAATGAGAAGTAGTGTTAATATTAGAAGATCCAGAGTTAAGGATGGGCAAACCTTTGCCATCACCAACATAAACTTGTTCAGGTCCATTTTAAGGCTCAAGACTTTGTAGATAAGTGTAAGAATTGGTCTTGTGCGAGCTAGCACTAGAATCAAGCAACCATGTAAGAGAAGTAGTTGCATTGTATGTAGTCAGAGAAATCTTGGTACCATAATGAGGATTCATGCGGTGAGGACACTCTGCAGCTTCATGATCCATCTGACGGCAAATTTGGCAAGATAGCTTTCTGTTGGAGTTGTTGTAGTAGGAACAAGAACCTTGATTTCCACGATTGTACGGGTGATTGCCTTGATTTCCACGATTGAACCTTGGATGACTCTAAGAGCCTTGGAAATTCCGCTGAGTGCCTCGATTGTGGAAGTGTCGAGAATTAGAAAAGTTGCCACGATTCGAAGTGGAACCATTTTGAGTAAAGAATGCCTGAGAACCAAAATCACTGGTTGGTATGGGAAGAAGACTAGCATAGGTATTAAAAGCTTGAATCGATACTGACGAAGATGCTGGCTTGCGAGCATTTAATTGCAATTCCTTACTCAAGAGAAGGCCATGAAGTTCATCAATGGTGGTGGAACCAAGTCGAAATTGAACAGCATCAATGACGGATTCATACTCAGAAGGCAGACCGTGAAGAATTACAGATATCAGCTTAGAGTCTTCAATTGGAGCGCCGGCATTGGCTAGGGCATCAACAATTTCTTCAATTTGTTGGAGATAGATTGCAGCCGTAGAATCGCCCTTCGTGATATTGTGAAGACGAGAGTGAAGCTCATGGATGTGCGATTGCGATGCAGTGGCTAGACGCGATTCCAATTTGGACCATAGCTCCCAGGCCGAATTAACACCAACAATGTAAGGAATAAGGGCATCCCAAAGTGTAGAGTTGATCCAGATCAAGATGTTATGATCATTCTTATACCATGCAACATATTGGGGATTCAGAGTGGTGGTGCGAGTTCCAGATGCATCAAGAAGGAATTTTAACAGAGCAGCCATCGTGCCGTCAATGAATCGGTAAGATTGTACCGGTGGAAAATTGGAGCGAATAGGGCACTCCAGGTCAGGTAGTTCGTCGTTGTAAGCTTGATTGGAACCATGGATCCAATGTTTTGGATCGTTATCGCAAAATTAGGGTTAGAAATGGCAGCAGGAATTGGATGAATAGGAGAATCTGAAACGGAAGACTGAGCTGCAGAGGTCGCCACAGCTTGAAGAAGAAACAGAGATCATAATCAAGAGCATTGAAGCGATCGATTGATCAGAGAAGAAGAAGCAAAACCCTAAAAGACGATGCAGAGAGAGAAAGAAGAGAGATAAGCGGGAAAATTAGGATCGAAAATGTCGTGAGACTTTTAGGCGGTTGATACCATATTAGAAATGTTATCTTTCATTTCATCATCATTAAATTATACAATGGTATACACATATATATATACTAGTGATGCACTAGTCTTAGCTAACCAGCTAATTACAAAAATACCCAAACAATCATTCACTAACTACAAACTGCCATAACCACCTTATAACAAGATCTACCTAACTTTGCTTTTAACAGTTTTATCCTTATTACGTACACACCTAGGAATAGTTTCTCAACTAAAGTATTTAAAAGCTGTTTTGCTATATTTATATATGCATACATGAATTTGAGACCCGTTGAAATG